TACAAAATCAAAACCAAACCCAAACAGCAGACTAGAAAGGAACCAGATATAATGAGGAAGACATGGGAGATTGGGGTGGGGAGGGGGGCCATCTGAATACTTGATTTCTTAACAGACTCTGGTTCCTTTAAATATCTGTGAATTTCAGTATCAGAACCAAATAAATCTTTTGGGAGGTGTTTCCTTTCTCCACTTCCAGCAGCTACTGAACCCATGCCAAATACCGGAGGAGAGAATAAAACAAAAAAGGGAAAGGACATCATCACTATCTTTTAAGCAAGCATCTCCTATGCAATCCAATAGTCCCAAACCATTTCATATGTTACTGTCACACACTCGAATACAAATATGTCACAACTATATATTGCTATAGTGACAGCTGAAGCCTGATAACCCCACAAGTAGCTTTCTCTATGTAGTATGTGCTAGTCTGCCAGAGTAGGGTCGTAGGCAATCCTAGGCACCTTGCACAATCCCGGCATTGTGTGTTTGCTATTACCGGGTATCTGCCTGGTGGAGCAGAAGATTATGCCACCTGTGACTGCAAAGGCTTTTGCTTTAAGGTTTCATGACCTATAAATTTTGTTAAAGGAGAAGAAGAAAGAAAGGAAAAAGTGAGAAAAGAATGTGGGTTTGGTTCTTGGGATATTTCATATGTATTTGTATTATAATAGAATACATCTATCATTTCACCTTTATGCACTTATGCATGTCTATTTTTCTATTTGTCTATATAATTATTTAGCTGACCTGTTTAATGGAGAAAAAGAATTCCAGAGTTGGTAGGGACAAATTGTATATATATGTATATATATGTATAATGACACATAATTTCAGACCAAATCTACAAACTCAAAGTTTTCTCTTAAATAGTTTTTCATGTTTAAATCTTACCTCTGCTCCATCTGTGGGTCACAGTGGCATGAGCACTGTAATAGAACAGCAGCAGCAGCAAAATCTTCCAAAGCATCCTTCTCTTTAAAGTACGTATGTCTAGCTGTATATTAGCTTTTCAATTTCCTACCTCCTTTCTTTTCAGGAATAAATAAATGGCTCTTCCTCTCCCCCTCCCTCTTTGAAGGAGAACCTGTCTGTTCTTCTGAGTACAGCTGAAGTCAGTGTGCAGCTCCTCTCCCAAACCAAGTCTCCTCGGGATCAGGAAACTTACTTTCACAGACAGACTTTGTTTTTATCCACATCTGGAATGACTCATGGTGCATGTGAGTTTGCTGGCAGCTGTGCGAATAAATATCATTACATTTTTGTAGTTGAGTTTCATTTGTTATATAGGCCAGTTGGAATTTATTTTTGTCCAATAAACAGCCACAAGTAACTTCATTAAAGGACACTCTTGAATCCTAGCTCTGTAGCTACTCCTTTGTAACGCAGGGGGCTATACGCTAACCCGTGTCCAAGGCGAAAGCCTCCCCTGGAATGATGTACAGCTGCCCTCGGATGCTTAAGTCAGGGAGTGGGGCATGTGCTCTGGAAGAACATTTTGCTACTGTGATTCATATAATCACTCTTTTATTAAGAACATATAATGCTGCACATAGACTTCAGTTCTGCAAGACGAGTCCTGGCCTTTTCCACAGTTTGCCCAGTGCAGAGGACAGGAAGGTCCAAATCCTTAACTGGCTCTCTCCGATGGTACTACGGGGTAACACTAAGCAATCCTAAGGACAGTCCTCAATAGCCAGGCTGAATGTGGAGGGGCGATGCTGAACAAAAAGGCTACTGATAGACATCTCCTTGCTGACACTGGCCCTGGGGAAGACAACACTGGAAGCGTTTATCCCAGAGCGATGCAGCACGGAGGAAGCTGCAGGTATGTGCTGTCCCTGGCACAGCTTCATTCAGCAGCGTCGGGGGACGCTTTGTGGGAATACAGCGCTGGAATGGAATAACAGCAGGTTGCTGTGTCTTGGAACAGACCAATGAAAAATAGGAACACAAGGAGTATTTAGCAGAATCAAGGGATAGGGGATAATCCATTTGGTGCCTAGAAGTGATGAGTTTAATTCTTTTCTTTTATAGTTGAGTGTAAGCAAGGAATAAATCCACAGACATCCAAGAATTTACACTGGTATAAAACTGGCATATAAGAAAGGAGACTCCAGCTCAGAAGGTATAAATAGAAGAATTAAGGGAAAGGACCAAGAGCTGGAATGACAGAGGACACTGTGGCTCAGGATTAATGGGCACTGGCAGGAAGGCATGGAGAAAACCTGTTCAGCTCCTGTCTGCCTCATGCCAAAGTCTGGCCTTAGCCTCAGTCCCCTCATTCTTCTTTGTCCTAGCTTCCAGTAACACCAGCTGTAAAGGAAGGAGGAGGGTCAAATAAGGTTGTCTTGCTTAAGGCAACTCCACTTCTTTTCCTGCATGTACAGATTTTCCTATGCTCAGATGGCCTCAGGTTACTCCCACATGAACAGCACATGAATGTAAGACAGTATTTTACATGCCAAGCAGATGACAAAAATTCAAGCTAACTCTCTCGCTACGTGCTCTTCTTGATACCATAACATATTAGGGATGGGTCTGAATGCAAGCTTAAAGCTAGGAGTGGGCTCACTCATATGGATCTGTCTAGAAATTATGGAGCTGGAGTAAACTAGTTTTACATTCCCTACAGAGGAGAAAAGAGAGAGATGCCACAAGAGGATGATTATTCCTACTTAGCTCAGATAAATCACTTAGTACAGGGTAAGTTGCTCTCTGGAGGAGGTGGATCCAGTCATCAGCATGGCCAATTCTGAGATGATGTGCATCAAGACGATTTGCATCAAGAAAGTGCAAGTTGCATCATAGTAAGGGGATAATGATCTGTCAAGCACTGAGGAAAAAAACGTTGTGGTGCAACTTCTACTGGAAAGACTTCAACCCGTAGGGAGGGCTTCAGGAAGTACACTTTAATTTAGTAAACCGCCTTAGTGAAAGCTGTCTAGCAAGCAAACACAGTGGGTATAGACGGCTTCATTAACTTAACTGCATCAGCCTAGCCACCCTGGCATGATTATCTTAGTGTCAGCAGGGTCTGTGAACAAGGTGTTTCAAAGTCAGGGAGACAAGGGAGAAGCAGTACTTAGGAAGTGCATTGCAGGCTTGAGAAATGAAATAAAATGATGAGAAAACTTAAAATCCTGTGGGGTAACAAAGGAACAAATTTTCAGTGGTATTTGGGGAAGGAGGATGGAAACTCTTCCGAGGTGCTGTATCATTTCACATTTACTGTTTTCATCTAAGGAAACAGCAGCCAATAAGATAGGATGAAGGAGGCCAGACAGCCTCCATCCCTCTCTAAACCAGAATCAGAACTGTTTTGCAGAAAGAGCCCTGCAGGATGGCTCTGCCTCCTGGCTGCCAGCAACGGGACACTTCCTCTGCTCTTCATTATCGCTGCTTAATATATCCAGCCTAGAAAGAGAGAGAAGAATCCCAGGAATTTCCGTCCCTAATCTTCCCCTCCACCTCCAGCCTCTGGAGCAAGCACCCTAGGAGCAACAGAGGAGCAGCAGCTGAGAGAGACAGAAGAGACGTGTGATAAGACTGGCGTACAGGTCAAAGGGACATGAGAGTATGAAACAGTTACTGATTTCTCCTTTTTCAGTCCCAGCAGATGTCACTATGAAGCTACATTGTATGTGATTTTTATATTATTATTATTTATTTCTCCTTAACTTGAGTCTGCCTACAGAATCCTCTCTAGCAGCCTTTTCCTCATCTGAGCTCAAATACAAACTCTCCCCATCTGTGGCTCAAGGCCCCACTCCTCAGTGCAGTCTTCAGTCATCCCAGCTTTGACTGCCTCTCTGCATGTACCACAACTGTAGGGCAAATTTAACTTTAAGACTGTGAATGATGCACTCACATCTGCTTTCTTACAGGAATTGCAGCTGTAAATATAACAGATCCATGTCAAATAAAGAATGCTTTCCCTGTGGCATCTCTTCAAGAAGTATAAATGCCCCTTTTCCCCCTTAAAACTGTAGATCTTTTTCTCTCGCATATGGATGTATATACACAGAGAGTCATATCCTCCCTATTAAAGAGCCCTCCAGATGAAGCTAGGAAATAAATCTTTTAAGCATGCTCAGGGCACTTCAACTATACACCTTCCATTCTTCTCAAGACTGTATTTTATTAAATAGTTGCTCAGTTTCAGCTCAAGGCAGTTTCTGCCTATGCTGGAGGTTTAAATCACTGCAACTATAATGCTTGCTGAAGAGGGTAGAAATCCTCACTATCTATAAATATTAAACACTCCTAGGTTGCTTTGGAAGTATCAAGAAGAGGAGCTATACAGTGAAGAATTCATCCAGAAGATGTGTCTGGAAGGAGAGGGTACTATGCTGCTGAAGCCAGGAGGCTGAGAGCTGGTCTGCTGGCTGGTCAATATTCAGGTCTTAAATCAGTGTAGTGCTAGACACTGTCACAGTCGTGTTAAGGTGAATATTTATGTTTTACCAATTCTCATAAATTTAGGTGCTGGAGCTGCAAGTAGTCCAGTGCTCCCAGTATCTGTGAGACCTTTCATGCAAAGGAAAGGTGTAACTGACTGCTGCCTCTGGCAGGATGTTTGAGGTGAAAAATGGACATTTATGCAACTCTCAGCAATATGACTAGATACCAAGGGAGCAGCTTTTCTATTTGATTCCTCCATCTTGGTGCTGTCAGTGAGTGACTGTACATACTGCTACTCCCACACAGTCTTTTTAAGAAACCTGGAAATAGGACAGGGAGGAGAGAAATGGGTGAAGACTGAACGAGGGAGGCTGCCAGCTGCCTTTTTGCAGCCCATGCACAGTGAGAGCAGAGAGCTGGTTGTGGTACCCAAAGCTGTCCTTCCTTCCCATCACAGATGCTGTCATGGTGAAAGGACAACTTCAGCAGGCTGAGAGTGTAGAAACCCTGTATTTCCTAGGGTATGTTCTGGAGTGACCAGTGCTTCAGATGAGATGCCCTTATGTGTCCTCTTTAGTAGCTCATTGTGTGAAGTAACTTGTAATCCAGAAAGAGTATAGAAGCAGAAACAAGGCAACAGGTGATCCAAGATCAGCAGCCTGTGGGTCTTTCAAGAAAAATAATCTCTTTTTCACTGGAGAATATCAGCTCATTATGTCAGTTCAGCTCTGGCTTGGATGAGCTGCTGCCAAATGCAAGGTAAGGCTGCAGTCTGCCCTGACACCTCAGTCGCTGTGATAGTCCCTTGCAAATCTTCTATCAAATAGACAGATTTATTATGTCTTTTTTAGATTTGCCGTGTTTCAGTTAGAAAGCAGGAGAGGGGGAGGAAGTTCCTCTGAACCAGAAACTCTGGTCTGCAGCCAGAGCCCTGCCCCGCACCACAGGCAGTGCAGCATCTGCCTGCTGGTATGCCAGCACGGTGGAACAAGACTGATGCATGACACAGACATTGGTCTCCTTCCCACCACGGAGATGGATAAATGGAGACATACACATAAAGTGACTCACTCACTGAATGAATTGATGGTAGAGCTGGGGATAGAAGCCAAGAGCTGATCCATTCTTCTGCCCAAAATACAAGGCCCGGATCTGGCACTGCAGCAGCTCACACAGCACCAGTGCCATCTACCAAAAAGTGAAAGTAGCTTCCATAAGAGGCCAAGAAATACCCTCATAACTGGGAGCACAAAGACAGAAAAAAAAATAGCTGTACACAAGCTCCCAGGAGAAGCAAAGAAGTTCTTTCAAAACTGGACTACTGGCATTTGAACCTCATTATCCATAATGACTTTTGCTGACCCGTCAACTGAGGTTGCAGCTTCCTGCAGCAACAGTTTGGACGGCAGAATCTCACTGAGCTTCCAAGCAACAGCAGCCAAGATGAACTTTACACAGCCAGACAGTGCAATGGGGTTGTAAATTGGAAGGGACTTTGAGGCATCTTTATGTTGTTCTTCTGCCCCAGAGCTCCTTTGCTACCTTGATCTAGCTGCCTGAGCTCACATTCACAAGAGCACTTAGATGCTGAGCTGATACTTTACAGATCTACATTTAAATAACGAAAATTTAAATTCTGCCCATGCAGCTTTGCAGATATCTGAAT